TTTTTTTTTTTTTGATAAATAAAAAACTACGACTTCTGTGGCGCTGTTTTATTTTCCTCCCCCGTCCCCGTTACTTATGATTGAGTATTTTAGTTTATCAGCTGTGTGTCGCCTTGCCACCGTAAATAGAGTTCTTCCAGTTTTTTCTTTTTTGCCTTTCTCGACCAAACACTGACTGAGCAGTTTTTCCGCAAAAGATTTGTTTGGTAAACTGAAATACTTATGATGAATGTTGAGAACAAAAACACGAAAAAACAAAAATAACAAATGAAAAACAACCTTAGGAACTAAAGAATAACGGCTTGAAAAAAATATAGAGCAAAGAAGTCAGACTAAAAAAGTCCATCTCTTTACGAACATTTTTTTTTTTGGCTAAAAAAAATTGGTTTCATCATTTACTGGCCGTCTTCTTCAACTGGCAACCAAGCAGTCATTTGTTAGTAGCCAAATTCTGTCTTACACTTGAACAATTTACTACAAAAAGTCTACTTAGACAGCTATCCACATTGAGTAGGTCTTTTATACCAGAGTCTGATCTTTAGCCTTTTATTTTTTTCATTTTACTGTTTCCAAAACACACACAAGAAAAAAAAGCTCTCAAAAAATTTAGAAATGCCGGTTAAAAATTGTTATTATTCATAACTGGCTGTCATTTGCAAAATACGAGTGTATTAACTGTTGAAATTAAAGCCGGTACTTTTTTTTCCCTAAAAGTAAGACAGAAAAAATACAGAATTATATATTAGTCAAATTGATCATTTGTTTTTTCCTTTATTTATTCGTTCTCCAAAAAAATTTTCCTCCTCTTCTTCAATTTTCTGTCATCAAATTTGGAGAAATATAGAAGCACAAAGAACAAAATAAATTTTTACAGTTCCATTCAAAAATAAATGGCAAGTTTTTGTCGCAGTGCTAAAGGTATGAAAAAATTTTAAAAACAAAAAAAGAAAAGACAGGAAAAAAAGAGAGAAAAAATTGAAAGTTTGTCAGCTTTGAGTTACGCCCATAGTCCAACCAATCCAGCATGTAAACGTATAAATAATTTACTTGATAAAATTTAACTTCAGCAAATTCTGACCTTTTTTTTTTCCAAACAATTCTTTGCAAAATAGTTGAACTGTGTAAACCAACTCTATTTGTCCGCAAAACATATCGAACTAGAGTTCCAAAATAATACTGTGGGGGCACAGTTCTCTTCTGAGTGACTCAGCTTCAGAATAAAATTCTGCGTACTTTTCCTCTCGTTAATGCGCATAAGAAAATATGCTTTCAGTAGTGTTACTAAAAAAGTTACGGTTTAGTATGGGAACAGTGTTTAATCATACTGCCTGGGGATCTCTAATCACTATCAAAAAAAGTAAAATCACGAAAAGTTTCGCTGAAAATATCCCATCAAGTGTTTAATGGAACTGCTAACTTTTACAAAGACAAAGCTCGATAAAATGAACCTTGACGAATTAAGTTTGGAAGTTAAATATTCAAAAATACAAACAGTTAAATACCAAACTCTCCACGCAGGTCACTTCCCTTCTGGGTAGCTAGATTGTATGTGCCGAATTTAAAAACTTGCAGATATCTAAGAATTTCTGGAAATATAAGTCTAAGAGTTTATGTTCAAACCTGCAATACAACTCAATTCTGAATCACAAAATACGAATATATTAGTTGGAGGTAGGATGTTGATGATTCAATGGTAACGACGTACCCTTAATTGTTGCTCTGTTTAAGAACCCTTGCTATCAACAAATTAGTCAATTACTAGT